GCCTTATTCCACCATGCTGCCACTCAGAATAGTCAGATATGTTATTGTTACAGCTGCATTAAAGCTGGGGTACCTCGTTTTCAAAGCACAACATATGTAGCTGTATGTAAATCCGTTAAACTGGTTCCTTTATTTTCAAAAGGTTCTGTTTTCTCTCTGGTGTCTCTCTGGTCTCTCTCTGATGTCTCTCTGGTCTCTCTTTTTGGTGTCTCTCTCTTTGGTGTCTCTCTGTCTGGTGTCTCTTTCTCTAGTCTCTCTCTCTCACTCTGGACTTTCTCTGATCTCTCTCTTTAGTCTCTCTCTGGACTTTCTCTGGTCGCTCTCTCTGGACTCTCTTTCTGGTCTCTCTCTCTGGTCTCTCTTCTGGTCTCCCTCTCTGGTCTCTCTCTCTCTGGTCTCTCTCTCTGGTCTCCCTCTCTGGTCTCTCTCTCTGGTCTCTCTCTCTCTGGTCTCTCTCTAGTCTCTTTCTCTCTCTCTGGACTTTCTCTGGTCTCTCTGGTCCCTCTCTCTAGGCTCTCTCTGGTCTCTCTCCCTGGACTTTCTCTGGTCTCTCTCTCTAGTCTCCCTCTCTCTGGTCTCTCTCTGGTCTCCCTCTCTCTGGTCTCTCTTTTTGGTGTCTCTCTTTTTGGTGTCTCTCTCTTTGGTGTCTCTCTGTCTGGTGTCTCTTTCTCTAGTCTCTCTCTCTAGTCTCTCTCTCTCACTCTGGACTTTCTCTGATCTCTCTCTTTAGTCTCTCTCTGGACTTTCTCTGGTCGCTCTCTCTGGACTCTCTTTCTGGTCTCTCTCTCTGGTCTCTCTTCTGGTCTCTCTCTCTGGTCTCTCTCTCTCTGGTCTCCTTCTCTGGTCTCTCTTTCTGGTCTCTCTCTCTCTGGTCTCTCTCTCTGGTCTCTCTTCTGGTCTCCCTCTCTGGTCTCTCTCTCTCTGGTCTCCCTCTCTGGTCTCTCTCTCTCTGGTCTCTCTCTCTGGTCTCCCTCTCTGGTCTCTCTTTCTGGTCCCTCTCTCTCTGGTCTCTCTCTAGTCTCTTTCTCTCTCTCTGGACTTTCTCTGGTCTCTCTGGTCCCTCTCTCTAGGCTCTCTCTGGTCTCTCTCCCTGGACTTTCTCTGGTCTCCCTCTCTGGTCTCTCTCTCTCTGGTCTCTCTCTCTGGTCTCCCTCTATGGTCTCTCTCTCTGGTCTCTCTCTCTCTGGTCTCTCTCTCTCTGGTCTCTCTCTCTGGACTTTCTCTGGTCTCTCTGGTCCCTCTCTCTAGGCTCTCTCTGGTCTCTCTCCCTGGACTCTCTCTGGTCTCTCTCTCTGGTCTCTCTCTCTCTTTCTCTCTCGCTCTGGTCAATTCCATAATCCAGGATGTACATATTCAGTTTGAGTGCTTTTGTGTTCTAGTTCTGTACTTTTCCATGATGATATAAAAAGTTTGACAGTATTGAGTTTGAGGGGTGGGGGTGGGGGTGTTTATGAGCCTCATGAACCCACTCCCACAGAATAATTACTGTTAAACTTCTAAAAATAAATAAATTAAGGAAAGAAGTCCTACAAAGTGTTGCATATACATTAAATACAATACAGTCATATTCACAGCCATAGTGATAAGAGCAACATAAAAACTGCAAGGATTGAAGAAAAGAAAAACAAAAAACAACAACAAACCGTTTCATCTGATTATCAAACGCAATAAACAAGTCCCTGATTCTAACAGTTTTTTTTCCGACAGTCCAGACACGACATTGTGCGTCAGCTGACCGGAGTGCGGCTCGCCATGTGACTGCCGCTCCAGACACAGTGAGGCTGAAGATAAAGAGTCTGGGTCAAAAAGCAGTCAATAAGTTAAAAAATGATAATCAAACAAAATCAATCTTGAATAAGGCTTATTCTCAAATCTGTCTCTATTCAGATTTGCAGAGATTAAACCATGTCTTTGGATGATTTTTAGCTATAATCAACAACATCTACAACTTTTCCTTCAATAAAAAGCCTTGTGTTACACTAAAGGCTTTGGGATACATTTGGTCTAAAAGATGTATTCTACTCTGGACCAAGCAGACCAAAGCCCTGTTTCCACCAGCCCTACTTGGCCCTACTCTGCTCGGCTCTACTCCACTCTACCCCGAGTGGGAGCGTTTCCACTGACCCTGATTAAACGGTTCTTTTTTAGTTCCAGCTTGATCCCTCGTTCAAACCCTGGATTTCAAACTGACAGTGATTGCTGCTGCTGGAGGCCATGATTACCTGAGGAGGTAAAGGTAAAGGTGCACATTATTAATCCCTGTAGGGCAATTCAATCCTCTGCATTTGACCCATCCTGATGCCACGAAGGCTTACATGTACAGTAGTACAGCGCCCAGGAACCCATCTCCAGATGTTGATAGGTGCCTGTGGAGTGCCTGCTATCCACTCAGCCATCACAAAAACTGGTACTGATACAAAGTTCGCTGGATACTGGTTTGTTGTGGGCAAGTTGCTAGGATACGGGACCCGATACGAAAGCGTAATGGAAACGCAACCAGGTAAAGTAGAAACGAGTAGAGTTGGGCCGGTTAAAAAACAGCTCTTACAACAACTCATTCTGAGAGACCATTGCTGTAAATGATTGAGATAAAATTACTACTTTTTCAGAAATTTTTTTTTTTTTTGACATATACATTTTATTCAAAAGCAGAGTGAAGCCTTACTTAGACACACAGGTTACGCTTTACAAAGAAAAAAGCAAAGAAAATGTACAGATGACAAACATAAAAATCCAAAAGCTGTTGTTTTGTCCATCAGTTAATGACGCATAAGTTTGTATAGTAATTATTGTGACAGGTCTATACTCACTATCTTAAATATCACATTCAAACTGGACCAAAACAAAGACGTCTCATCAACCCTAGCTTTATGGCACGTTCATTATTCATGTTTTCTAAATCCGTATTAAAAAAGGCCTCACTAGTCTTGCTTATCTGTGTCCAATGTATTGAAACACCTCCAACTTTTTTTAATTCATTTTATTCGTAGATTACATAACACAATATTTACATCTCTCAAAAGGCACATTGTATACTCCCCTGGTAATCTCTGTACATTATAATACACACATTTACAGTCACCTCCTGAAATCTCACCCCGACCTTTCATTGCACCAACAACACACGTACAAAAGGACAATACAAATATATATCATGTGAGAAAGAACATTTTGAATACATAAGAATTACAGCCACTCGCCAAAGGTTTTAGTCCCAAATCATGTGTCGTTGTGTCTGTTTAGCTGCGTCCATCTTTGCACAAAGGAGTGAGAAAGGCACCTATGGTTCAAACTGGTAGAATCCAAGCTCCATTGTGCGTTTTTAGTGCAGTTTATAAAAGAAACAGTGAGAATATGTTTGTTTTCTGACGTCTTCATGCGTCTATAGTCAACATTACAAGGTGTGACAGTCTACTTCATGGCCACTAGAGGTCGCTAAACACCAACCAATTCAAGTCAAAACGTTCAGACAAAACAGAAAAGAAATGTGTATTTGTAGTTTGCTCGCTATAGACATTATGAAGTTCAAAGCAGCAGCAAAAATAGGTCCATGTGTGTCATTTCTATGCACAAAATTCAACAAAGCTGTTGCTTTTGAGCAAGGCAACGTCAAGCTATGTGTGAAAACTGTATCGCAATAGATTCAGAAATGGCTTTAAAACTGAATTGCGGTTCAAGTTAATAGAGAAGCCGGCTGGTCTGTGTGGAGGGAAGGAGGAAACGCAACAGAAACAGACCGGAAAGTCTGCATTTAAAAAAGTAATTCTACAAAAAATATATATAGGCATAAATATATAAACAAAAAGTCTTGGGATTGTGCAGAGGGGGTTTGGAAAGGTAATATTTCAGACCCTCAAAGGTGGAGCTCTCCAGGGACGCAAGCTCAGCTCAGGATCCACCAACATCAAAGTCTCTTCAAATTATCATTCAGCTCAACTTCGGGTTTTTTTTAACCCGATTTACTGCTCCACCGTCTCCCTGTGTGTGCACCGTCAAAAACACACGCTCAAGTTTGAGAGACTTCAGTAGTTTTGACTTGATTTTCTCCCCGTTTAATTGAATTTGGCTCAATGCTATACATGTTATTGTTGATGCATTCATAAGACTGAATGCTAGTGGTTTTTATGTACATTTTGAGTGCATTCTGACTAAAAAAACAGATTCTCCGATGGGACAAAGCCATTCAGTCCTAGTCAAGAACATTGCTTTATGTTCTCATTCCAAAGGAGACATTTTTTGTATCATTTTGCTCGCAAATCTTAAGGCAGTCAGAATGTACTCAAATTAAGAAACATGAGCAATATTGGATTATTTTTCATTACTTTTTGTGTATATGTAATGTTCAATGTGAGAGGAACCAGAAATGCACTGGTCCTCTGTGCTCAAAACTGCGCTCTGGTCTCTTCAAGTCGTTAAAGTCGTGCTTATAAACTCATCAAAGTGTATAATAAATGTGTAAAGATGTCGGTAAAACAGCTGCAAATTTGTTAAAAGGAACTAATTGTATATTTTTTGACTATTTCAAGACTGTCAAAATTTAATAACTTGAATTTTGACTTTAAAAAATTACCATCAAGTCTGTTAACGTAAAGCTGGGGTTCGTAACTTTCTTTTCTTTGCTGTCTGTGCTGATAGAAAGAGAACAATAGGACCACATGAAAAGGCCCGGGGGGAAGAGACTAAAAATTCTGATTTAGAGGCTGAAAAAATACATGCATGTGAAAATTATTGATTGAAGCAAGAACTGGTTAGATAGTTAGTCCAATTTTTAGTAGTTTGAAAGTTACGCACCCCAGCTTTAAGACTTAGTTTCCCCAAATCCTGCTCCATCGAATATGTTTCTTCTACAACATTATCATTAATATTGTGCCTCTTTTTTGGGGTACCACGTAACTGCAGTCAAGGCAGTCCTATTACATCTTCCATTGTTTTTCAGCTCAAACCGTGGTCCGGGACTTAAACCAGGTCTAGTCCAGGTCTTGTCCTGGTCTAGTCCCGGTTCAGTGGATGCATGTTGGCCTCTGCAGATGCACTGGTTTGGTCGGAATGGGAGGTTTGGAGCAGGAGGACAGGGCGGAGTTATCGGAGGCAAAGGCTTTTCTGAGCTCGGCCACGCGACCGCTGGAAGACGGCGGCTTCTCGACCGTCACGAGATCTGGAGAAAGACCGGAAACGGTTAAAGTTAGAGAATACGGTCTGAAAATAGACTTTACAGAACACTCAATTCCAATGGAGGCTGTGCGTACATCTTTCCGTATTCTGCCCTTTTTCCCAGCTCTACATTATGGGTCAGATTTATGCAGATAATCTTCCTGAAAATGTGAGACAGGGTTCTTCTCTGACAAAAATAAAATCAGTTCTGAGGGATTTTATCTTTTCTACACTTTTTAATGTACTGTGATTATTTTATAAACTTACTGTGGTCATTTTCTCAGTGGATTTCTCACCTCTGTCCGGCGTGTCCAGGGGTCCGTCCTCCAGCGGGGCTCTGTGCAGCCGGGGGTGTGGCCTGTAAAGGGGCGGGGCCTCAGTGCCGGAGCCCGAGTCGCTGTCACTGCTGTCGCTCTCCTTCAGGTCCATGTCCTCCTCTGACGAGACCGGAGGAGACAAGAGGAGGTCCTGTCGACACAAGAGGAGACACACACTTTTAAAACACTTCTATACCACAACACGTCACTTTAGGGAGAAAGTCGTATTTATGGATTTAGCGCATTTCACGGACCAAGGTCACATAGAAAACGCTTAACAGTTTTGGTAACATTGTGTGGAGATAGTTCATGTCTCAAACTGTTAACTAAATGGAAATGTATGGAATCTTAATTATTAATGTTGTTATTTAGTTGACATTTTTGAAGCAGTCCTGGCCCCAGAGAGAGTGGAGCTATTACACATGTTTTTAGTGGTAAAGAGACACAGGCAGAACATGCAAACTCCACAGAGAAAGCCCTGTCAGGAGGTGGAATAAAACTCAGGACCTTCTGGCTGTGAATAATAACAACAAACTATTTTACAACTCGTCTCTATAAAGAAACCTACCAAGAGCTTTCCCAAAATGCTTCCATATATTTTTTCTTAAATCTTTTTCTAGTATTTTCTATTTTATTATTATCATTTTTATTTTTTAATCTTTATTAAGGACACAATACAATACGATCCATAGTTAAAATAAAACAAACAATTCATTCAGTATATTGTATATTTTTCTTGTATTTATTATTTGTATGTATTATTTGTATTTGTATTTTTTATGTTTTATATAAGAAAATATACATAATTCATACAGTATATTGCATAAAGAAAAATAAATATGTAAATTCCTCTAATAGATTATAGTAGACCTCTCTCCTTTGTAAAGTTTTAGGGCTCTAGCTTTCGTCTGTCTCCTTGTAAAACCGCTGCATTGTTTAAAACAGTGGGTCTTCCTTAATCCTTCCTAATTTGGTTAATAATCTCCAAACATCTGTTCTCCAGCCGTGGTGTGGTCGGGTCAGTGGTGCGGCCTCCTGCTGAGACCTCCAGGCTCTGAAGTGTTGGGCTGTTGTGGTGACCTGAAGATACTTGTCGGAGTGAGTGATGGCGGCGGATAGATAACAGTCTGGCTTCTGTCATTATTGTCACTAAACTGTTATAAATCTCACTCACTGCCTTTAAACGCGTCGCAAAAAGAGCCCATGAGGATCGTCCCAAATGTCAACCATAGACAGATTCTACTGTGGTCGTTAGAACTTCGATGGCAGGACTGGATCAACTTTAAAACTCATCAAATAATGTCCACACTGCAAAAAATGATAAAATATGAGGTAATAACGGCGTGGAGTGGTTTTTCTCCTATTTTGAGCAAATTTGGACTGTCTCACTGTAAAACAAGATTAGCCAATGGGACAACGCTATTTAGTCTATTTCAAGATTGAAATTAAGATTAATTTAGCCAAATTTGAGCAATTTTTGCCTTATTTTTCATCCATTTTTGTAGCGCATAGCATCTGAAAACTCTTCCACCTTCCAAGTATTATTTTATTGGCCATCAACAATAAAATAAGACTAATAATAATAATAATACTGTAATAGTTATTTATAACACCATTTGCCTTTAGAATGTGAAATGTTATCTTTGTAATACAAATATTTGAGGGGTATAATACTGGTTTTCGCCTGTAATTCCAAATGCTACCACCAGAGGGAGAAGTTAAATGTAATTTCACCAGAGAAATTACCAAACCTTTTGTTATAAACTGTTTTTAGGACTGAGACAGGAGCTTTTAGACAGAATGCTAAAATAAAATGTATTATTATTATTATTATTAGAAGTGGTGGAGTTACATGTTTGTGCCAGAAGTTCCTGATATTAGCATGGACGGATCTAAAGACAACTCCAGGTCTGTATTTGATAAGTAACACTGTTAAAAGAGAGAAAAGGATGATTTTTTTTATGTCTCTATTAGAAATGCCCATGTTTTTCCTTGAAACCAGCTTATAAGGTTGTGTGTGTTGTGCGTCTGTGTTGTGCGTCTGCGTTGTGGTGGCTCTCACATCTGCTGTGTGTGTCCGGTTATATCCTGGTTCCTCTTCCTGGTTTCCTGATCTCTGCGTCTGGATGCCATTCAGATTATCGCCCCGCAGCCTGCAACAAAGAAGCCATTTCAAACCACCGCAAACCCGGCACGTCTCCGCCAACTTGTGTGTAACTATTGTGTAACTATTGTGTAACTATTGTTCTCTGCAAATGTTCAAAGATACATTTTAGAAGCAGGAGTCGTTTGGATCATGAGGTAAACAAGACTTGGATGGAAACTTGTTGACGTTACAGTAGATACTAGATCAAAGAAAGAAACATAGTGACTAATATAACCAGAAATAACAACATTCATACATAATGTGTGTGTAAGTGCGTTTGAGTGAGAGAGAGAGACAGTGTGTGTGTGTTTGTGTGTGTGAGAGAGACAGTGTGTGTGTGTTTGTGTGTGTGAGAGAGAGAGTGTGTGTGTGTTTGTGTGTGTGAGAGAGAGAGTGTTGTGTGTGAAAGAGAGAGATGTGTGTCTGTGTGTTTGTGTATGTGTGTGTGAGTGAGAGAGAGAGAGTTGTGTGTGTGAGAGAGAGATGTGTGTCTGTGTGTTTGTGTATGTGTGTGTGAGTGAGAGAGAGAGAGTTGTGTGTGTGAGAGAGAGAGATGTGTGTCTGTGTGTTTGTGTATGTGTGTGTGAGTGAGAGAGAGAGAGAGAGAGAGTTGTATGTGTGTGTGTGTGAGAGAGAGTTGTGTGTGTGTGTTTTAGATGTGTGTGCAAATGTAAATTTGAAATAAATAAATACTTCTACTGCAGTACTTGCTGGACTAAAAGATGCTACTTTTATCTATTCCTTTATACTTTGGGACTTTCATGTGTTGCTTTTTCAGAGCGCCCCCTTGTGTACAGGAATCACACAGCTGTCGATCTCCAGAGCTGATGACGCAGCACACATTCCTGCTTCCTGTGTGTTTATGTGAACAGCAGAGCGGGGACATGAGGACCAGGGAAATGCACTGGACTGGTTTATGTGATTAGGACTGAAGCCAGAGCAGAGTTTATGCACGCATTATTTTGTCTTATTGATAGTTTTAGAAGGAAAGTTATTGTCAAAATGAGAGCCCAATTTTTGGCCCATTAGTTAGAACGGCGGAGATAGTGGTGACTACGCCCGTTAATATGTAATATAATAGTCTATGAGTGCAACATAGTCCAGCAACACTGTAGCTATAGCATCTACATTAGGTCACGGATATTGTCCATTCATAACAGTTCACAAATCATCAAACTTAGGAAAGAAATTAATGAAAAGTGTCTCAAGGAATATAATATTTAAAAAGACGAGCTTTCGTTATCTCCCATAAATAATACTTGTCCATCCATCCATCTCCTACCCTTTAATCCATTTCTGGGTCAGGGGGGTGGCAATCAGAGATGCCACCCAAGTCTCATAGCACCAGCCCCTCACTGACCCTCTGCAGGTGGTGAGTCCACAGGAGGACGGCTGCTCTCTGAGTGTGAGCATAGCCTTGATCTTTCAGCGGGGGCTTTGGGCAAAGTGGGGTTAAGTGTCTTGCCCAAGGACACAACGACAGCAGTCATCAGTGGGAGTCAGAGAAGGTGTGGAGGTGGGAATTGAACCCACGACCTTCAGGCCTGCAGGCCAGTGCTCTACCAACTGAGCTACTGTCGCCCCCAATAATACTTGTTGTTTGTTCTAATTGTTGTAAGTTGCTGTTTTGAAATTGTTAGAAAATATGTTTTATTTTTTGACAGAAAGAGCTCTGTGATGTACTATTTGTTTGTTTTGGGCTGAGAGCTGTGATTGGCTGGTCCTCTACTTGTCACTTTTTTGTCTGAAAAAAGCTGAAATAAAGATGTGACCGAGGTTTTTCGTACATGTTGTACTTCAAATGACTGAGGTTTGAAGATTAGGGACCCCAGCTTTAACTTTAAGTTGTTACTAACCGCCATCTTTCTTCTGAATAAGTGCGAGCAGTGTGTCTTTTAGCCAAATAATTCCGGTGTAAAATGCAATGAGAGGCAGGAGACAGGGCAGCTACAGATGACAGACAAAAGGGTTGTTCAAAGAGACCAATGAAGAGCCCATTAGCGACGTCAATTAACCTTTGTATAATTAAGTTAATGCAGGAACAAAGGGACGGACGCTAACAACATTACTGCTAGAGGAAGAACGCGTTTACAGAAGTTAGGTTAGATTTTTTTGACATTTGGTGTTTGACAAAAATTGGATTGATCTACAAAAGAAATTATTCACTTAGAGAACCCTGATTAAGTAGGATTGTAAAAAAAAGACATTTGATAATTAAATTAGGGCGAAAAACTATGATAACGACAAGAAAAATAGACTCTGAGGTGCGCTCTGCTGCCCTCTGGTGGCAAATGAGCTTCTAGTTTGCAAACTGAATGTACATGTAGAGGGATTATTAAAATATCTAATCTAAGTGTGTTTTTTCCTTATTAATAAACGTATTCCTTAATTTTCTAATCACATAATAACATTTTATATGATTTAGTTTAGTCTGTATGTTAAAGAGACAGTGAACCGCAACATTAGGCTCAAAGACTAACGAGTACGTTAGATTGAATGAGTGCACTCCTCCGACGCATGTTAACTACCAGAAAGCCAGAGCTACAGGTCGCGGCGGTGGTGTTGCGATTATATCACACACCAACTTGGTTCTTAGTCCCAAAACCAACATCGCTTTTCACTCGTTTGAAAACTTAACACTTTCAATCACCTGTCCTGGGTGGAGAAAACAAAAAGCAGTACTATTTATAGTTTTATACCGACCTCCTGGTCCTTACAGCGAGTTCCTAACAGAATTCTCTGACTTCATTTCAAACCTAGTTTTGGAATGGGAAAACATAGTTATAGCTGGAGACTTCAATATACATGTGGACGACAGCACTGACAGCTTAAACAAAGCTTTCAGCGCCGTACTAGATGGTGTTGGTTTTACTCAGAATGTCGAGGAACCTACTCACATTCATAACCACACCTTGGACCTTGTCCTGACCTACGGCTGTGATGTCTCCAATGTTGACATCCAGCGTCAAAGCTCGTTGCTGTCTGACCATTTCTTGATCACGTTTGATCTCGCTTTGGAGGACTTTCCTGTCCCGCAAGATAAAACCATAATGAAAAGAACCTTAAATGATAAATCTATCACAAGGTTCAAAGAACTAATACAGCCTATGTTGAATACTGCTGCAGGTGAACCTGTTCACAGCAGCTGCAGTCCCTCAGTCATTGACCAAACGGTGGGCAACACTATGGAGTCTTTAAAATCTGCATTAAATGCAGCAGCTCCTTTAAAACAGAAAACCATTAGGATTAGATCATCGTCGCCCTGGTACAGTGTTCAACTCCACACTTTAAAACAGGACGTCAGAAAATTGGAGAGGCTATATCGCCACTCCCACTCGGAGCCTGTCCACAGGGAGTGGAAAGCAGGTCTCCGAAACTACAAGAAGGCCCTTCGCGGGGCTCGAACTCAATACTATTCAACTTTAATAGAAGCGAATAAAAACAACAGTAGATTTTTGTTTGGTACCGTCGCTAAACTCACAAACTGCCATAGCGCAATCGAGCCTAAAATTCCAAGCTCACTGAGCAGTGTCGACTTTCTCCACTTCTTTAATAATAAAATTACATCCATCCGTGACAAGCTGGAGGAGGTTGCTCCTGCTGTTAGTGGTGGACAGGTTGAAGCGGCATACGTGACTTCCCACTTAGACTCTTCAGTGGGCCTTAATAAATTCATGGCTGTGAGCCAAGCAGAGGTGATCTCTGTGGTCACATCCTCAAAAGCCTCAACTTGCATGTTAGACGCAGTCCCGACATGGCTCTTCAAAGACATACTTCCTTTGATAATTGAGCCTATCGTAAATATAATAAACGCATCCATACAATGTGGCTATGTCCCACAAGCTTTTAAAACCGCGGTAATCAAACCCCTTCTGAAGAAAACAAACCTGGACCCAGAAATACTTACAAACTACAGACCGATCTCAAACCTCACTTTTATATCTAAAATCCTGGAAAAACTTATAGCTGAGCAGCTCCGCTGCCACCTGCAGGAAAATGATATGTTTGAAGTCTTTCAATCAGGATTCAGAGCTCATCATAGCACTGAAACGGCACTAGTCAAAGTCACAAATGACTTACTACTAGCTGCCGATAATGGACAAGTGTCAGTGCTGGTCCTACTGGACCTTAGTGCTGCATTTGACACAATAGACCACAGCATTCTACTGCAGAGGCTAGAATGTGATATAGGTCTTAGAGGAACAGCCCTTGGCTGGTTTAAATCCTATTTATCAGATCGATATCACTTCGTCAATGTGAATCAGGACTCGTCGCCTTATTCTGGAGTGGAATTCGGTGTGCCGCAGGGTTCGGTACTCGGACCGATTCTTTTTACTCTCTACATGCTGCCACTGGGAAACATTATTAAAAAGCATGGAATTAATTTCCACTGCTATGCAGATGACACACAGCTTTATCTGTCGATGAAGCCTAATCAGACAGATCAGCTAGAAAAGCTCAGTGCCTGCATAAAGGACCTTAAAATGTGGATGACTCTTAACTTCCTACTTCTCAACCCGGAGAAGACAGAAGTGATCCTACTCGGTCCGAAGCGCCTGCGTGACTCCCTCACTAACCAGATGGTTACTCTCGATAATGTCAGTATAATACCCAGTAACACTGTGAGGAATCTTGGAGTCATTTTTGACCAAGAACTCTCCTTCAAGGCTTATATAAGCCAAGCAACTAAAACGGCGTACTTCCACTTACGGAACATCGCTAAAATTAGGAATTTCCTTCCTAAAAGTGACGCGGAAAAACTCATTCACGCGTTTGTCACCTCAAGGCTCGACTACTGTAACGCTTTACTGGCAGCGTGCCCTAAAGCCTCTTTGAAGAGCTTCCAGCTCGTTCAGAATACAGCAGCTAGGATCTTAACAGGTACCAAAAGGAGGGAGCACATAACTCCGGTGTTAAAATCACTCCACTGGCTCCCTGTGGAGTACAGAATAAAGTTTAAAATCCTACTCTTAACATATAAAGCCATAAATGGCTTGGCTCCTTCTTATCTCCAAGACACGTTAGTGTCGTATCAACCAAGTCGAGCGTTGCGCTCACAAAACGCCAGACGTCTGGTGGTCCCTAAGGTCTCAAAGGTCACTGTTGGTGGCAGAGCATTTAGCTACCAAGCTCCTTTACTGTGGAATCAGCTTCCCATTTATGTTAAGGAAGCAGATACGGTCTCCACATTCAAGGCCAGGCTTAAAGCACTTTACTTTAATTTAGCATATAATTAGGTAATATATAATATGTGTAGTGTATATATTATATATATATATGCTGTATTATGTTATATATTATGTTATATATTATTCAATAATGTATTGTGTTATGTTGTATATTATGTTATATATTATGCTGTATGTTATTCTTTATTCAAGGCTAGGTTTAAAACAGTCCTCTTTAGTTTAGCATATGGCTAGGAAGGTAAGACTCGGAGAAGGTTAAACTCCTCAGAGTGTTAGTCAAGCTGCATAGGGAGTCAGTTTGCTGGGAGAAGTATGGTAACTTGAGCACTATCCTCTCCTCCTTCCTACTTTATCTGTTTAGCATTTTTAGGATTCTGACTGTAGTTTGTTCATTGCTATTCACCCGTTGTCCCATTGTCTGTTTCATGGTACGATGACGGGATCTCTGAGCCTGGCCTCTTCCATCTACACCTGCGGACTGCCCCGCCCGACCCGCCTGGGAGTGCTTCAGTCCTGCACCGGACCTGTCCACGTTCAGCGGCCACTGGTCCACGTTCTGTAGCTAGCTTAGGTCCTGGATCATTAGTCTGTCCGTCCGGAGGAGCGGATCCCTTTCTCATATGGGTCTCCCTCCCTGTGGGTTTCCCTAGTTCTCCCCAAGGTTTCTCACGTTTTCCCACTGGGTTTTTTAAGAGTTTTTCCTTGTCGATGCAGGAGGGTCTTGTTGGACAGTTAGTGTCCAACAGAAAGGATTGGTGATGATCAGGACACTTTAGCATTCTACAACATGTATGGACATTTTCTTCTGTGTGTGCTTTATACTGTATTCTTCATGTGTTTTAACTGTTGATTCTCTGACCTGTGTTGGTGATTTCAATGGTTTTGTTAAGTCCTCTGAGATGACTTCTGTTGTGACCTAGGGCTATACAAGAATAAATTGTATTGTATTGTATTGTATTGTAAGACAGATATGCTTTACAGCGATTATAAATACAGAGCTTCTTTCTATCTGTAGTCCCCAGTTATATGCAAGAAAATACTACAATAACATGCTAGCAATGTAGCCTAGCATAAAACTCCTCTCACATTGTATTCCCCCATCCACAGCGACACACAAACAGCATCATACCAGTGCACAACCACATCTCTCATTCACATCATATGAAATCGCTAATGTTTTATTAACCTCATCCATAAAATCAATACATGCATGTCATACTGGAGTCCATTGTGTTAGCTATGTGTAAGTTCTGGCCTAATATTGCAGGTTGCGTTCTGGGTTAGTTTGCGTTCACGTGACATCACAACACCCCAAAGAGCCGATAATTTAACACTGTGGAGGAGGGCAGCTGAGAAATCTTTCCTAGTATCTGTTTGGTGTGTGTCAAAAGTCAAACTTAATCATTTCTCTCATTTCTACTCTGGGCCAATCCACATGCAACAAAAAAAAACGGTTGCAAAGTTCCACATCTTTCTGTCAGCACATGTCAACTATAGTTATTATTTGATTCATAAAGTAGGTGGAAGTGGTGGCAATATTCAATAACATATGCAAAATGTTGGCCAGGACTTAAGAATATAATGGTGTTTTTTTTTTGTGTATTTGTCGATATGTCTGCACCTGTATTGTATGTCTGAATTTTCACAATAAAAATAAATAACAAAAAAAAATTATATAATGGATGTAACTTTAAAAGCGAAACGGTAGGGGTAATTTCCCATGGACTTAAAAAAATATATAATAATCTATAAAAATATAATAATAATAAAACCTTTGGACATTTCCTTTTCTTTCCAAGTCTTTCAAAAATAGCTTCTTTCAGTTAGAATGTGGTACCTGCTCTCCAACTGAAACACAAGTCTATAAAAAGAACGCAACACAACAAATGGGATAGACACGCACTGGGAAACACACAAACATTACAAAAACAAATCCAGTTCTGAGTAGTGACCTGTTGTTGATGTTTTGCAGCAGTTTGCAGCCTCTGAACTCGTCCGTCTCTCCGATCACCATCACGCTCACGTCCCCGTCTCTGCCCAGGAGCCAGCGCACCTGTTTGGACTTCACTGCAACACACAAAACAACAACACCACGTGTGAAAAACAGAAACAAATTATGTGCTGTCTGTCTGTGGTGGAGAAGCATCAGGCCACAGCTGAGTCACGGAGGCCACACTGCTGCAGGCTGTCCACTAGAGGGCACTGTTGTCTCATGCCATCAGGTGTGTGTGCGTTTGTGTTTGTGTGTCTATTAAAAAGTCCCTATATGACACTTTGGGCTGAGAGCTGATTGGCTGAGTGAGGGAGGTTCTCTATCGCTTTTATGTCTGAAAAAGTTGATCTAAAGAAGTGGCAAAAAAACGACTTATCAAAATCAAACCAATACATTTAAATACATATTTCCATTTATGCAATTTTGAAAGTCACGTACCTCCGCTTTAAGATTTTTCAAACGTTATACCAGTTTGGCCTCATTTTTCCAATATATATACTATATTAATTTTCCATTTTACACTTTGACTTACTGTTTACAAACTGCACCAAAACCTCAAACCCTTTTTTTCAATCAAAAATAATAATAATAAAAAAAAATGAATCATTAAAGTTATTATTTTGACCAAAACATATCAGTATAAAAACATAACATGAGTATTTCCCAAAATCTTAATCAACTATTATTATGAACTAATCAAAATGCCAACGTCTTGAAATTACACATACATACAGGATATATCTCATAGGATTCTTTATGAGTTGAAGAAACAGTAAAAACACTATATATGGCCTCTATTGTTATTTCTAGCTGTGCAGAGCAGTGACTTCATCTGGCCTCATACGTGACCTTATCTATCTGTGTCTCCGGGTTTTTCCGCTGCACTATTCTACTTCTTCACAAAACAACACATGACATCATTGTCTGAAGGTCTTGTTGAGTGTGAAGTGGCCTTGACCGCGACACAAGAGAAAATGCATTTATTTTTTACATTTGAATCGGTGGGTACAGATTCTCAGCTGGTTCAGTTCGGTTTTTAGTTAGTTATTTCCAAACCTGCACAAAACAAGATACAGATATCAATTATCAAAGTTGATAAAAAGGGGTTAGCTTTTCTACCCGACTGTTCCCGTTACCACAGCAACACACTGTATGCTAGCAGCTGTTAGCATAGTTTAGCCTCTCAACTAACTCTCATTCACATCATATGAAATCGCTAATGTTTTATTAACCTCATCCATAAAATCAATACATGCATGTCATACTGCAGTCCATTGTGTTAGCTATGTGTAAGTTCTGGCCTAATATTGCAGGTTGCGTTCTGGGTTAGTTTGCGTTCACGTGACATCACAACACCCCAAAGAGCCGATTTTGCCTGAGACTCACTAAAACCTTGGTATTTCGTCTCAGGCTGAGGTAAATATTCACGTCTTGTAGCCATTTCTTTATTCAAACTTGCATTTAAGAGTCACAATCTGGTTGGGGTGAAGGTTCAAATATTCAGATGGACAATGCTAACCGCCTAGCTTAATGAAGCCCAGAAGGGAAGTGCTCAAAAACAAAAAACAAAAAAACATGATTTTGCGCTCTCTATGCATATTTCTATATTCTAAAGTAATTATTTTCATACACAGGGGAAGCTCCAGCTTTCCTTAGCAACCATCTTAGCAACACGCCAACACGCACGGTAACCCACTGTTACCGCGCAAAGCTAATGCCCAGATAAGAAAATTAGCACCAGCAAGCTTAGGTTCTATTCAGCTTCTCCCGCATTATTGAGGCTAACACTTTAGATCACGTCAGCACTCAGTCAGTCCACTCCTAATTTACGATCTATGGGCTTGGTTTAGGAACAGCTAATTTGGTTCAGGTTAGCATTGGGCATGAGTGAAGGGTTAGCTAGCAGTGGGACGAAATACCAGGATTTTTGGGGGTCCTGTTTTTGCTTACTTTATTTCAACGTCTCATCTTCTTTATATTAGTATTACTTTGTTTAGGATTCAGTAATTGGTATTTTTGGGCCTGACTTAGCCCTGGGGCCGGGGGTTGAATGGATGTTGTGACTCAGTCGTCTTCAGTCTCTGGGACAAAGAGCTCCATTGAGTCTCGCCTTTATTTTCTCTGTTAAAATGAGTAACCGTCTGATATCACGTCTGGGTTAATGATCGGCCACAGAAAAGTACCTCTCAAGGTTGATAGATATGTCAGAAAAATGGCCCACACCAGGGACTGAACGAAGGCTTGTAAATATAAGATTTTGGCATCACTTTACAGACAGGGCACGGGGTAAATACACACACACACTCACTCGGTACACACAATAAATTCCAATTAACAAAGCACAATAAAAAGGATATATATTGTGCAGTAGTAAAAGCTGGGAGTCATAAAACTTCTTCAAAGCTTAAATCTCTGAAAAATTACTAGAAATAATTGACAACTATTTCACATAGTGCACCAACTATAGACTGTTGCTTGTGCTGCTTCCTGCTTTTGCCGAAGTAAAATTACATTACAATTTACAAATATCATACTGGTTTAGATAAACACAATAGACTGCATACAGTTTGAACATAAGCTAGCCAGAGCCAATTTCCTTATATGGGCATTTGTTCTGACGGGGTGACCTACTCGCCACAGCAGGTGCAGACGTGTTGCTATGATGGTTGCTATGTGGAGTTCCCCAGCCAGTGATCAATCCGTATGGCTCAATTTATTTACAAATACAATATCCAAAAAATAAAACCTCCAGGATCAAGCCTAAAATGGTGAGTGTGGCACAAACGGGTACTGAGCCAGAGGAGTTTGCTTTTCTATTGGGCTTCATTGGGTTAGCGGGTTAGCATTGTCCAACTCTATACAGTCTACGTTTCTAATTACTAATTTAAAGTGTTTAGTTTTAGTTACAGACGTCTCCTTTTTCAGCTGAGATTTGTAACGGAGCCGAAGTTTAACACCCGCCGGAGTTATTCAATCTATCAATCTATGAGCTGTCTATGTTTCTACTGTATATTATTATTATTATTTTTAGGTCAATACTTTAAATTACTGGTGATCATTGAAGCTGGGGAACCTGATTATCCAACTGTGAAATTAAGAAGCATATCAGAGTGACAGTGGCTCGAGACTGACTCCATCTACTCTCACTGACGTCTGCTGCCGTTGTGTCCCTGAGCAAGACACTTTATCCCACTCTGCCTGATGTCCTTTGTGTGTCTCTGTGTGTTTTTCTGTCTATGGTTAAATTATACTTTGAAAATGTACAATAGCAGTAGTAGCTCAGTGTGTGTTATTTATAAGTATGCAAAAGGTATCACATGTTTAATAATCAGTCCTTAAAATATTACTCTAATAACTTTTTCTTGGGACAAATCAAATGTATTGTAATTCACTGAGCATGACGTAATTTTGTATCTTTCTACATTTTTGGTGCTATTTTTGTTTGTGTGAAGTTTGTAATATAAAAAACAAATACAAAAATGTTAAAATATGGAGCCCAAAAACAGCTACATTTCAGCAAACACACTGGCACCCCACTTTAGCCACAGAGACAAAATACTTTCTCAGTGATGTGAAAAGTGTGAGAAACTTTAGACCAGTCGATAAATTCACTTTCATAAAACTGAATTAGAATCAGTAGTCGACACTTGAATAGTTAATTTGCAAAAACAGATAAGTGCCATTCAAAAAAGTCTTAAAAATTTGCCTTTTCCCAAGTCGTTTTTGGAAAAGTTAGCCTGTTGAGCAAATCCTTTCAAATGTACAGCCAATAAGAAAACATGTGGATTATTGACGCTAAATAAACACTACTTTTTGACACATTTTCAAAACCGGAGATATCTGTTTTTGCGAATGAACTCTTCGCTTGTTGTTTGAAACCACATTGGAGTAACCGAGCAATTATAGACGATAAAAAGGTCATTGTGGGTAATTCTCTCTCGAGATGTGGATCGAGTTGCGTTCGTGTTTGTCGGTCTGAGCCGAGACACAATGGACCGTGGCTTTTTATGGTCAGGCAAAAGAAAAACCCACATAGAGCGCTTGATAAATGTGGATCATGTGAAGCGGCAGGTGCGGACGTAAAAATACTTCATGTTTTGCGACAGGGACAAAGGAGCGGTTTTCAAAAGGCGTTGTCAGAAATACTCATTAATCATGTGTTGTGTAAGTATATTTCATTTAGTCTTCTCTCACGGACTGAACTTGTTGTAGAGCCATATTTTCTCTTCCCCCAGTGTCGTAATGATGGGTGGAGTCTTGCTTTGATTGATTATATAACGTTGCCTAATTATAATGCGGGCCAAGATGAAAAAGGTTTAATAACAGTCATTTAAATGTACCCAATAAAACTAATTTATACACAGTAACTTGATTCTCTCACAAACCTCTTGGTATTTCAAAATAAACCGTCGCAAAACTTTTCATATTTTAAAATTTGGCTGAATTTGCTTCTATCGTGATTCCTTTTGACGAGGTCATTGGGTTTGTTGCGTTATTTTTCCCCCAGATTGTCCCGGTTATCTAAAGAGTAGTGAGATAAGGCTAAAAACTAGGCTAAAATTCTGTGGAAGTTTGTGTCACAAACTTCCACATCTTCTTTGTCTTTGTTTTTGCTTCTTGTGGATTGGCCCAAGGATTACAGAGAAATGAGCTCTAAACTAAACAAGAAATCTGACTTTTAAACTCTACCATAGATCCCAGGAACTATTTTTAACTGCTCTCCCCCACAATATCAAACTATACCCTTTTATGGAATATTGTGATGTCACACGAACACAACTTTTTATACTAGCATGCATGCAAACACCCTTATTTGCATGCATGTCCCGTTAGCAGTTAGCAGGCGTGAACCGAATCAATATCGGATCACTTGGAAAGACTAAAGGTGAATTACATAATGCTAATATTGCTAATAATGCTAATGTAAGCGACTTTTTAGTATTATACAAGTGCGCATGTGTGTTGCCTTATGACCGATGTTTTGCAGGTTTTGGTTCTCGATAAAATAAACAAGGACCTCACTTTTTGAGAGAATCTCCAACTACAATTGGCCTCTTTCTGTCTCTGTCATCCATCTCCCGTTTGGTACGCTACACTAATAATGCTAACAATGCTAATAATGCTAAGACTTGGAGCAATGGTAATCATCAGCAGCAAGCAGTAGGTCATACAAGTACGACTACATATTTTGTCAATTAAGGAACAGAATGTGAAAAATGTATGTGGACATCTGCCAGATAAAGCGGAGAGATCGGAATCAATAAGTTGTATAAGAGAAAGTTTTTGCCAGTACATTCCTGACGTTTTGATCATTCTATAAATAGTCTCCATTCTTGTCATTGTGCCCTTTAACAAACCTCAGCTGCATAGATTCCCATGCTGCAACTGTTTTGTTATTTTTGCTCTGGGTTTTTTTTTCTCCTCCTCTGTCCAAAACCAGTCCGGCCAGAATCCTCGCCTGCTTCGTTTTGCAACTTCAGAATCACAGAGTACACGTCGTTCTTGTCAAGCAATTAAAAATTATCAGTGCCTTGTTTTTGTGCGTGTCGTCGTAATCAGACCCACCGTCGGAAGAAATCTCTCCGATTAAAACTGGACCCACGTTGTTTGTAAGTAATAAAGAGGCTTAAATCAAGGCTGGAACTGGAGGAAAACCAAGAGTACTTCAGGGGTGGACTGGGGTTAAAGCTGGGGTACGTAACTTTCAGAGACCAAACGCCATCATTTCACAAGTTCCAAGCTCTCGAGACAATTTGGTTCTATGACTAAAAGTATTTGGTTCTTCTATACCAGACAATAGTAAGTAAGAGAATAAGAGATTCGTCCCACAGTGGGGAAAGTTGCAACGCACATACAGGACAGTAGTAAGAGCACACAGGGAGTAGAAGTGAATATATCGTTATTTTGTGTTTTTTGTCTGTAGATTTGTTGTCTAGTTTTGTGTTATTAAGGACTCTTTGTGTGTCCCAATTAAATATTAAAGTATACGTATAAAGTAGCTGCTATGTTTCTTAGCTAGCCGTAAATCCTTCAATATCAGTATATCGTTATATATCTATTTATAGACACAGTACAGTTCCATACAGCTCCATTTTGTCCTGGTTTGAAAGTCAAGTACACCAGCTTTAACACTTTAACATTCACTCGTTGAAGAAAGCAATGCAATTTTTTTGATGTAGGAGCACTAATAACACAAATAATATTTTTTTTAAGCCTTACTTATTCTACATTTTAGGCCTTTATCAAATAGTTGCGTTGCAGTTTTGATGGTCAAAAGTGCCTAAAACCAAGCGAAAGGCCCCAAAGAGGTAGATTTTTGTGGATATATTGACTCAAAGGTGATCTAGGTGGTTAATTCAGCTTCAGCCATTCGTTCACATGTGTGCATCATCACATATACAGGGCGTGGTTTATGGGATTGCAAGGAGACTTTGACATCTCTCTGGTTTTACCTGTCCTGGTCTGGCTGCAGTATCCCAGTCCGCTCCTCTGCTGCTGCTCCTCCTCCTCCTCCTCTTCCTCTCTCAGCCTCCACCTCCGCACCTGCTCCTCTCTCATCTTCACAAACAGGACCCTCTTCTGCTCCTCGCTCAGAGCCTCCAGGACGTCCGGGTCCACCCACATGTCCTCCAGGATCTTAGCCAGCATCCTGCCTCTGTCAGCGGGCACCAGCACAGACAAGTCCTGCCTCTTGTGGCTTCAAGATCTGAAACAGAGAGGTCACGGTCAGAATCTTATCTGTCAAGTTGTAATCGATGTTTGAGGCCGGAAGACAAAGCTTTTCAAAATCTCCACGGCACAGGATTACTTAGATAAAACTGGATGGCCATGTCTTCAGGGCCAGATAGTTGTCCTACTTTTTAAATAAGGTCACAGCACATACTGATGAAGAAGTTAATGTAAATGTGCACTATTCATTTAGGTAAAACTCAGAAAATGTGAAAATTGTTCAAAAGTGTGTGTTTTTTTTTTTTTTTACAAATCGTGTGCCTGATATATCTTACTGTGCGTGTAATGCTGCTGTGAGATAGTTTCTGGAGTCAAGCAAATCCTCAATTGGGATGAGAAAAAAATTACTACAAAAAATCTCAAAAAAAATCTTAAAGGTACTTATTACAGTTGCTCCAAATGATAGCACATGTTAACTAATAACAAATGTGACCTTTTTAAGAATATTTACCTCCATCATGTTGTTCATATTGTCGTCATTGGCTCAGAATGTGACTTATAAATGTCCACGAGGCTGGAGGACTCTACAGGTCACTGCACCATCTTGAAATACAGTGGTTGATAAGGGACAAAAAGGACTTTGTGCGGGACGACCACTGTCAAAGACCACATATTGTCCTGCGAAGCCACCGTAGTACAGTAGATCACAATATATGATCTCAATGCTAGATGGGAGTCAAAACTACACCGTGTACCTTTAAATATCAGTGGGTAGAGCATGCATGTGTGTAAGTGCCAGCTGTAACAGTAGCTCTCCAGAGGGGGGCCACAGAGACAGCAGTTTACCCATGTGACGCCCACGTCAACCTGACTTATTCATGCATGTAAACCTACCGATCGCCTTTGTCTCCGGCGCTGAGTGGATCTCCTGTTTGTTTTCGGAGCCTTCAGCAGCTGGAGGTTGTTCCTTTGTCTCCTGCTTTTCCTGCCGCGCCGCTGTGGTCCTTCACGGGAAATAAAAGAAGATTATTATCCAGCACATTGTCCGGCAGAATTCTATACAGACAGACACGAGGTGGAGTGGTGCAAGAGAAAAAAGCCTGGGCCTCTGTGGCAACGTGCACTCAGATTATGGCGTTAATCAAAAGCTTATGTGTGTTGTATAATCTATCCCTCGCTGGGACGTCCCGCAGGAGGACAAAGGCAAGAATTTGCACCGATGCAGCAAGAGTTCATCGGATGGTTGCGTACAAAACTTACAAACTCACATGTTGTAGGCAGCTCTCTGTGAAAAAAGGCTAATGCTGCTAATGCAAAATAGACTTTCAATCCAACACAGTAAATGTGTGATGTATTTCTACTATTTTTATGTTTATGTTTATTTTTTGGTGTTTTTTTTCCTTCTTCTCTAATATTTTCTACTATTATTATTACTTTTTTTTTGTCTTTGTGATATGTTTTTTTTTTTATGGGGTTGGACTTTTGTGTTTTGGTTTCATGTTGGGTTCTTTCTGTGTTCTTGGTGAATGTTGATGGGTTTGTCTGTTTTGTTGTCTTTAATATAAATAAAAAATAAATGTAAAAAAAAATGACCAAAAAGTTTACGTATTAAGGCCTGTATTAAAGTATCTCTCAAAACTTTTTATCACTAAGTTGAAATTGCAAGTATTTTTTAAACAATTTTTCAGGCAGAAAAGTGAAAAATAGAGGACCACCCTCACTCAGCCAATCAGCTCTCAGTATTCCAAAGCTAATATGTTTTCTACCCAGACAAAGGCTGTATGTTATGTCTGATTTGTTCACATAAACCATGTATTTATGAAGCCAATAAAAAGTTAGGTTCTGCAGTTTACGTTCAGTGCAGACTCCCACGTTTTTAAGAAAATATAATTATAAAACTAACTATTTTGGCTGAAGGATTAATTAAAATATATTACAAAAATGATCAAAGTCCTTTATGAACAGCACTGAAGCTTTAACAAATGCAAAAAGTGATGAAAAAGATTGAAAAGTAAAAGTTTCTGAATCTCAACTTGTACTTTGTATGTTGTTATTATGTTTACTGCCATAGAATAAGATTAGTATTGTTCAAAAGACTTTTTTTCCCTTTGTTTGAGTGAAAAATGTCCCTGTTTTTCATATTTGAGGTGCACGTTACACTTGTTCTTTTGGCAGATTCTGGTCAAAATCAACTCAAATCAACATGAAAAGCATAATTTTCTTCAAAACTTACTGTCATAAGTTTGTTAATTTTACTGTATAAAATTAACAACAAACAGTAAACTACACTGAAAGACTTTGAAGAAACTTAAATTATAAATGCAATTATAATCAACTTTTTTGTAAATTTGACCAAAAACATGATATTTTGTGCCCGGATGGGTGTGGACGTACAAACACTATCTTTAAGCCACAGACACGACAGTTAACAACCCGCTCCCGTCCAAGCTGCGCAAATGTGATGTCACACGTACAGTAACTGCTGGTATTACTTCTATAATTACTACCTCTGTGTGGAGACGAATGCCCACAATACCGCTGCTACTGCTACTGCTACTGCTACTACTGCTACTACTACTGCTGCTACTGCTACTGCTACTGCTGCTACTGCTACTGCTGCTGCTGCTACTGCTACTACTGCTACTGCTACTGCTGCTACTGCTACTACTACTGCTACTGCTGCTACTGCTACTGCTACTGCTACTGCTGCTACTGCTACTGCTACTGCTACTGCTGCTGCTGCTACTGCTGCTACTGCTGCTACTGCTACTGCTACTGCTACTACAACCACTACTGCTGCTACTGCTACTGCTACTACTACTGCTACTGCTACTGCTACTACTACTGCTGCTACTGCTACTGCTACTGCTGCTACTGCTACTGCTACTACAACCACTACTGCTGCTACTGCTACTGCTACTGCTACTGCTGCTGCTACAACAACCACTACTGCTGCTACTGCTACTGCTACTACTACTGCTACTACAACCACTACTGCTGCTACTGCTACTGCTACTACTACTGCTGCTACTGCTACTACTACAACCACTACTGCTGCTACTGCTACTGCTACTGCTACTGCTACTACTACTACTACTACTACTGCTACTGCTGCTACTACTACTGCTACTGATACCGCTACTAATACTACTACTTCAACCACTAATGCTGCTACTGCCACTGCTAGAAAACATACGACTACTACTACAACTAAAATACTATTACTGTCACAACTACTACTTCTACTACTACTACAACTAAAATACTATTACTGTCACAACTACTACTTCTACTACTACTACAACTAAACTCCTACCACTGCCACAACAACTACTGCTACTACCACCACAAACACAGTGCTTACTACACACAGATAGATGACCAGAGCTATACTACACTAGTATTAAAGTACACATGTATATCTATAGTACCACACACAAACTAAACAGCACTCACCAGCTTCAAACCTCCAGCCCAATCTCTCCTGAGAGTGTTGTTGTTTCTGAATCTTCCCTTTGAAAATCGGAGTGCGTGTATTTGAGCCAATCATTTGTTTGGGAGATAAGAGCCGTCCAATCAGAGAGCAGCGAGCGTGCGTCTGTCTCACTGTGAGTCAATGGAAAGTCTTCGGACCGAGGAGTGGCCACTGTTTTTGAATATCACGTTACTCTAAATATTAACAGGGTGAGTGTTGTTGAAAGCGGTCGTTAACGACAGCGATAAAGGATTTTACAAGAAGAAGGAAAATGTGTCCAGTTCCGAGTAGAAGATTTTAAAGTTTCCTCTGTCTTTTCTCTGTGTTTTCTCTGTGTTTTCTCTGTGTTTTCTTTATTTCCTGATTGTGACACTGCTTTTTACAGCTTATCTCAAATGTTGTTGTAAAATTCAATGTTATGTTTATATTAAAGTAAATATTAAAGTAAATGACATGTTTAATGATATGTTTCACTGCTCAGAACTCTGGATTCAAACATTGGTCCCACTCTCCCCGATCAGCCTATGGCATACAGCTGGATACCTGCGAAAACTCTGAACATGAAAAAGGTAGAAAATAACTCAACTAAAATCCATCAAACTAGTTCCTACTATTACTGATACTGCTACTACTGCTACTACTGCTACTGCTACTACTGCTACTACTGATACTGCTACTACTGCTACTACTGATACTGCTACTACTGCTACTGCTACTACTGCTACTACTGATACTGCTACTACTGCTACTACTGCTACTGCTACTACTGCTACTACTGATACTGCTACTACTGCTACTACTGATACTGCTACTACTGCTACTACTGATACTGCTACTACTGCTACTACTGCTACTACTGATACTACTGCTACTACTGCTACTACTGATACTACTGCTACTACTGATACTACTGATACTGCTACTACTGCTACTACTGATACTGCTACTACTGCTACTACTGCTACTACTGATACTACTGCTACTACTGATACTGCTACTACTGATACTGCTACTACTGCTACTACTGCTACTACTGATACTACTGCTACTACTGCTACTACTGATACTACTGTTACTGCTACTACTGCTACTACTGCTACTACTGATACTGCTACTACTGCTACTACTGTTACTACTGATACTACTGCTACTACTGATACTGCTACTACTGCTACTACTGCTACTACTGATACTACTGCTACTACTGATACTGCTACTACTGCTACTACTGCTACTACTGATACTACTGCTACTGCTACTACTGATACTGCTACTACTACTGCTACTACTGCTACTACTGCTACTACTGATACTGCTACTACTGATACTGCTACTACTGCTACTACTGATACTGCTACTACTGCTACTACTGATACTGCTACTACTGCTACTACTGATACTACTGCTACTGCTACTACTGATACTGCTACTACTACTGCTACTACTGATACTGCTACTACTGCTACTACTGCTACTACTGATACTGCTACTACTGCTACTACTGCTACTACTGATACTACTGATACTGCTACTACTGCTACTACTGCTACTACTGATACTACTGATACTGCTACTACTGCTACTACTGCTACTACTGATACTGCTACTACTGCTACTACTGCTACTACTGATACTACTGATACTGCTACTACTGCTACTACTGCTACTACTGATACTGCTACTACTGCTACTACTGCTACTACTGATACTACTGCTACTGCTACTACTGATACTGCTACTACTGCTACTACTGCTACTACTGCTACTACTGATACTACTGATACTACTGATACTGCTACTACTGCTACTACTGCTACTACTGATACTGCTACTACTGCTACTACTGCTACTACTGATACTGCTACTACTGATACTGCTACTACTGCTACTACTGATACTGCTACTACTGCTACTACTGCTACTTCTGATACTGCTACTACTGCTACTACTACTACTACTGATACTGCTACTACTGCTACTGCTACTACTGATACTACTGATACTGCTACTACTGCTACTACTGATACTGCTACTACTGATACTGCTGATACTGCTACTACTGCTACTACTGCTACTACTGATACTGCTACTACTGCTACTACTGCTACTACTGATACTACTGCTACTGCTACTACTGATACTGCTACTACTGCTACTACTGCTACTACTGCTACTACTGATACTACTGATACTACTGATACTGCTACTACTGCTACTACTGCTACTACTGATACTGCTACTACTGCTACTACTGCTACTACTGATACTGCTACTACTGATACTGCTACTACTGATACTGCTACTACTGCTACTACTGATACTGCTACTACTGCTACTACTGCTACTACTGATACTGCTACTACTGATACTGCTACTACTGCTACTACTACTACTACTGATACTGCTACTACTGCTACTGATACTACTGATACTACTGATACTGCTACTACTGCTACTACTGATACTGCTACTACTGATACTGCTACTACTGATACTGCTACTACTGCTACTACTGATACTGCTACTACT